GGGGAAGAAACAAAAACACATTACATGGCAAAAATTAATTAAAATAAGTTTGGATGCCATAACCACATTTGCCCAGATGGTCCCTTTCAGTTAGCAACACCTCGGCAATTTCAGCATACTACAGGAGCTGCATGTTGTGTACTCACACTGACTCAAGAAAACAACATTTTTAGCTGTACTATGGTACAGCAAGGAAACATGTGACAGGGTCTCCATGATTTATATTAATTCCTTTTTAACACTATTGTCAGGATGGAGCCATCTGTTATCTCTTGAGAGCAAAGACAAGGAACTGCCCAAAGTCAGTACCATCTGTGACACATTTAGGATGTTTCTTTGTATTTTATTTTGACTCAGTACTGCTACATAAACAGGGTGACTTACTTCATAGAGAGGTAGAATGGATGATCTCTGAGTAGTGTAAGCAGTGGCAGCTGAAAGATCCTGACCCCTCATCACCGGATACTAGAGAAGAAACAAACGATTTGAAATGGGAAAGTCAGCAATCTCCTTTATCCTCTCAATCGTCCAGACACTCCAAAAGCAGCCACTGTTAAAACACAACCTTTCTGCCACTGAGATTTCTGCTATCTGTATAAATACTGTGTCAGAAAAAGAAAACCTTGCAAAATGGCAGCACCACCTCTTAACCGACACATGTGCACCAAAGCTCTGCAATGCAAGTGTGCTGCAGGTGAAAACTCAAATCAATCCCGTCTGACACACTGAGTAGAAATAAAAGCTAAGTTTTTCTCCACAAAGCATTTCATGCCTGAAGACTCAGTACTCTCAATCATCTCAGCAAATGGTAAAAAGAACAACTCCAAAACCAGAACTGAGCAAATTAAACTGTGTCCCATTTTGAAATCATGATTACAATCACATTTGCTGTGGGATTTTCCTTAGTTCTTAGTTTGGGCAGTGTAGTGTTCATTTGGGTTTTAATCTCACTACACTGCCTACATCGAAAGACCCCTGATTGCTAATGATCTTTCACAAAACCAAGATTTTTGAAGAATTCCTATTTGCCTGTTGCAACAACATATGGAGCAAACAGATAAAATTCTGGGGTTATTACACACAGAGACATAACGCAACAAAGAACAGTGGAAAGAGAAAAAACACCTTTTCAAATATGAAAAAGACAGCTTGTCCAAGATAATTTTGAAAGAATTCAAAGGACTATTGATATGCCATGGAAAATTTGAAGCATCTCCATTCATCCTGAGAAGTTTTGCTCAAACATGATTGCATCAAGGAGATTGGTTTGTTTTCCCTCTGCCAGTTTTGTCTCTTCCCTGTTCTATCAGAAATTCATCTACTCCTCCTTATTCCTTCCTAAAATCCAAATCATATATTTGAAACATCTCAACTTTTTCTTTAGCTACTGAGTATACTGTGTGCCAAATTTGATCTCTTCTGTAAGAAAAAGCAGGGAATACATTTTCATACAAACCTCTCCAGTGAGAAGGGCCAAGCCCCCAAAATGGAACTAGTCTAAACAAAATGTGCTGGAAGAAGAACAAGTGATCTACGAGATGTTATCTCCTACAATGTTTCTTTTGTTTTGTTTCTTTTCTTTTTAACTGAATCAGCTTGAGCATGAGTTCTGGATGTAATACAAAGGTTTCTTCTTCAGTAGGATTAGTTAGCTTGGTATGTGTGGTAAAAGTAGTGTAGCAAACTTAAACCATAAATCAAGGCTGCAAGTGGTACATGAGGGAATCCTAAAAAGAAGGTTTAATTCTGTAAACACTTTCTATGGCACATCATCCACTACCTTGAGCAATGGCTGACTTAAAACACAGCTGACCGCAGCTTTCCACTGCAGAGCTGGTCACAGTACCGTAGCTTGCTCTGAGAAGCAGAGGAAGGCTCCACTTGCCTCTAATTTTTGACAAGTGGCGAAATTAACACAGTAACAGGGGTCCAAAAAAGCTCACTACAACCTACCACCTGCAATATGGTGCAGACAGGCACGTTTGTTCTTGGGTTAAACCCACAGAAATTGTAGAAAGTCTACAAGTGAATAGTCTTCATGTATTCGTACATAAATGACCACAGTCTGTAACTGCTCCGCCCACATAGCCTCCTGCAGTAGCTTGCAGGCTCCTAAGTTGGATCACTACCTAAGAAAACAGCAGTACAGTGATGGCAGAGGACAGACGGCTGTCAATCAGGAAGGGAGGAGCAGAAGGTGTGGCAGAAATTGGTAAAATGTATGTGCTTGCATTTTTAAGCATTTCTTCTCCGAGTTATGAGATGGACAAAATTTCACATGCTCTGACAAAATCAGTTCTTAATAAATGACTGATGATACCAGGAACATGTTGATTAGCTCCAAAGTTGAAAGGGCAAAAGACAGGCATGAAACCATACAGAAACACATAGGGATCAATTATCACTGACATTATTAGTGAAGCTATGAGGCTTGCAATGAAATTAATGCCTTTTTAGCAGCAGGATGGAAAGTATGTCAAAGAGAAGAAGAGAGAGGTCAAAGAACTGACCAGACCACTCTATCATTCTATGAATATGTATTTTCAAATCTAAAGCTAATGATTCTCACCTTAAAATAACAGCTGATAAAGAGTACACTGTTCCTTCACACACAAGAATATCCACAAGTTACATTAAAAAATAAAAAAAACCAATCTAGGTTATCTGCAACAAAACATTACATGCAAAATAGTGGAGCACTGGAGAGATGATCATAGAATCATAGAATACCCTGAGTTGGAAGGGACCCACAAGGATCATTGAAGTCCAACTCTTGGCCCTGAACAGGACATGACCCAGAATCACACCATGTGCCTCAGAGCATTGTCCAAATGCTTCTTGAACTCTGGCAGGCTTGGTGCTGTGACCACTTCCTTGGGGAGCCTGTGCCACTGCCCAATCACCCTCCGGGTGAAGAACCTTTTCCTAATTATGTAACTTAAACCTCCTCACCTAAAACCCTTTAAATTTACCACTTTAAACAGAAGCTCCTAGAACAGTAGCAAATCAAACTTGCAAAAAATGTCTTTTTTTCCTGATCTGTTGCACTGCAAAGGAATATTCAGGTTATCATCTTGGTTTGCTAAGAATAAAATAAAGAATCTCTTTGTCAGGGGCAAAATTTGGCTTCCTCTTACCTGTGAGAGGTTCTGCAAAGAGTTTCGGATGTCGTGGAGGACCCTGCGCAGCTGCATCTCCACAGTGGAGGGTGGGTTGATGGCATGAGGTCGATGAACTCCAGCATGCCGTGGAAAGAAGGGACAGCTGAAGGGGGAAAGCAAGGCACTGAAGGAAGAGCCAGAGATGCTTGGGACACTGTGGGTGCTGAATGTCCTCATGTGCTCACACAGCGGTCTGTCCTGCCACTCGGCAGGGAGGGAGTGGAGGGAGCATGTTGACTGGGACATGTGTGCTGGTGTGTGCAGTGGGCAGCTGTGTACCCTGGTGGGACTGAGCTCCTCAGGCAGCCTGTTGGGCCCAGTGTGAGGCAGTTCCTTTTTGGAGGATGAAGGTGCAATGAACAGTGTGGATTTGCACACTGGCTGACTGGCAGCTGCCTCATCCTCACTTTTGCCATTCTCAGATGCTGCTTTCTCTCCTTCCTCCACATGTGTGTACTTGTAGGTGAAAGAAGGAGGACTGCACAGTGTCTCTTTTCCTGGAGTTAACTGGACATTCACAGAGGACACCACTTTCACTGGATTGAGCAATGCAGTTGGGAGAGACTGAGACCGTCTTAGAGGATAACCTGATTCAGCAAACCAGAGTCTCTGCTTCTTCAGGAGGTCTTTTGATTTAAGCAGAGTGCATCCGGCCCTGGAATCAGATGAGCTGACGATCCTCATCTCAGCTCTTTGCAAGGCAACGTGAACTCTGTCCACAGATGATGGGGAAGAGCTACCACCTTCCAGAGACTCCATTGATTTGAGGATATGGTGTGTGTGGTACTGAGGAAATTCAAACACACTGCCTTCCAGCAGGTCCAATTCTTTTTGCTCATTGGAAATGTCTTCCTCTTTAGAGCTGACCTCTCCTTGGACCGTCTCCGATGTATGAGATGACTTGCTTTCTTGTCCTTGATTTTGTTCAGCATTATAGTCAGTAAGTTTTCTATCTTCACTCCTTCTGTTATCAGAAAGCACCCCGACCTTTTGTCTCTCTACTTGAGAGATAATATCCTCTTCATCATTGTCATCATCCTCATCATCATCATCTTCTTCCTCCTCTTCAAACTTATCAAAACAGGGCATTTCCTTGGCTATCGGTGTCTTCTGTTCCTCACTATGCGATGTCACAGTTGTCTCACTGTCACAACTGTCAGCACTGCTTCCCATGCCCTGCAAAGACTCCTGAACCTAGGAAAGATAAGAAACAGCAGAGGGGTGAATGTACTGGAGACTCAACAACTGCCTTCTCAGCAGTCAGGCTAAGAGTCCAAGTCCATATTCATTGGGTATTGGGGTGGGGAGCAGAAAGAATAACGCAGTTACTTTGCAAGTACAACTGTGAAGGAGAACAAAGAAACCATGGTATCAGATATGTTAGAAGCACAATGAAGTGGTTTTTATTCTTCTTAAAAGAAAACTCTTCATACATTCCTTTGACTTGACAATAAATTCCTTGTTGCCAGAAGAATAGAAGTGGCAGCAGAGTAAATGAGTAAAACACTAGTATTTTAGGTAATGATGACAAATGGACATCTCAGTGATGGTACATTGCATGTCCCATACATAAAGGTTTACAGTTAGGGCTGAAATGAAGGGTGATATTAGGAAGCGTATACAGAAAAGTGAGGAGAACCGCAGACTGTAGTGAAACTAGTGTTACAGGACAACACTAAGAACAGGGAAATCAGTCTGCCCATAAATTTGGCCTAAGATACAGAATTGTTTAAGACTGAAAATCACACATTAGGCTGCTAACTTCAGCTGAAGACTGCATCCAGTACTATTGGCCCAATCTTCCTTCCTTTCTCCTAATACTTCTTTCCCATTTTGTTCTAAATCACAGTTTAAACCACAGCATGTGTATGAGGGAGCTGCTAATTTAAAAGGCAACAAATGGCAGGAAAAGCATCTATGAGAAAGCAGGGGAATGAATAAAGTCTATGGATTGCAAAGCATAATCCTTAGGATGGCCTGATTGACTGGTGTATTTATAAGTAGACAAGACATTTTTCTGGGAGTATGTGGTATAAAGTACAGTCTTGGAAGATTACCATAGTTGACACATGAACTAGACATTTTTCCATCTCTCATTTCTGCAGCTCTTGCTGCTGTTAGGATGTTAATTATTACTTCCTTCTTGAGAGATTACTCATGGTGTATGCCAGGCAACAGTTCCTTCTACAACCATCTAGAAGAAGATTTCCGTCATAAAGGTCATCTACGTAAGTACGTACTAACCACTGCAGTCACCAGCACAAATTATAATGAAGACTGTGCAGGTTCAGGTACTTTTCAAGCAAAAGGCATTAAAAGAACAAAAGATTATAATGCCTAGGTGAAGTCATGTGGGCTACACGTGTGTATATCTGTGTCTCTAATCCTCCATCGAATTGTTCAATTATGAGTCAGGCAAGCAAAACTTCAAGAACTTGGATGGAGAATTCTAGCTTCTTTGGTAACATGAAACTCCCCTGTAGAACACCCCATCTCAATGTCAAAATCTCCCTCACAAATCTTTATTTAGGAAGTCAGAGATCAAAGGCAACATGGTTAAAATTCTGAGTTTTCTCCTGAGTTTCAGAGGAAAGCTATGGCTGTTACAGTCAATTATTTAACAGTAGATGGCACTAACTTACCATACTTTTAAGAAACAATATACAATCCTCTGTATCCCCTTCATCTTTTCACAGGTTCTGTTCATTAGCTGCCAAGTTCTCATTTCCCCTAATCTCATCATTCACCCCTATTTTCTGAATTCAGCCCAGCACTTGGTCTGAATAGAGCAGTGAAGGTGACAGAAGAGAGCCTAGCAACTCCATGGCACAAACCTTGTGCAGTCTCAATACACCTTTTCAAAACAGCATAATAGAAAAATCTCAAGCCTTTATAGCCAACACAGATAAACTCCACCAGTATTTCAGGTGCTTTTAATGGACTTTTAATCAGGTTGCAACCAATATAAAGATCAGGAGTGAGCAACTAATCTGAGTAACCTTCTAACATGTCTGTCAACTTCAGTGCAGTCACAGTTTACTAGAGAGTAGACCAAGTATCTTGGACTACCATGCTCTCTGCAGAGACTCAGGCTCATGATTTCCTTTATTCACTGTCTTGCTCTTGGAAAACATAAGCTGATGTTTAAGGGAGACACAAAGATTAAGACTGTCTTGGCTTTTATTTTGGTACTCTATTGAAAAACTACTAAATTGGAAAGCACAGAATATCAGTACCGAAATGCAACACTGATGCATGGGGAAAGTGAAAAATATCTTTCTATTAACTACCAAACAGCTTTTAAAATGATTGGTGTGCCAGAAGGAGAAAGAAAATATATCAGCATAAAACCCAGCTCAGCAGATGCAAGCCATACAAATCAAATTACTGGTAATACCCAGAATCCCATCTCTCTGTTCCTTTGGGCTGTGGTTTAGGTCCCAGATAGCTAACTGATGGCCTTGAGGCCAGGATCCGACTCAAGGCTTTTCTCTGTCTGATTTGACAGGCCAACCGAACCATGGGTATTACTGTGTGAATGTTTTAGGAGAAGCAAGAGAACAGCTCTTCAAAATACCAGGTACAACACTGTGCAAACATGTGTATAGAGCAGACACCTAAACACCATGCTGGAACAAAAGCTTTCCTCAAGACATGCAGTCTCTGGTCAGTATCAAGGCAAGTTCTGGGACCAAGATCAAAGAAACTGGAACAAGAAAGAGCATGGAAGCTCAGGATGAACTAAAATTAGTCTGTCTTCACAGTAAAGCCAATACAAAACTGTTTTCACTTTCTGTCAGTTGCTAACTTAGAGTGTGAAGGCAAAAATGGTACAAAAAAATTAAATTATCAGCAGGATAACTACAATCTTTCATGACCTTAATTTCTACCCACTGCAGCCATAAGAGGAATAGACTATGATTCTGGAGCCTCAGACAGTGAGAAAAATGATACACCAGACACAGCAAACAGGACATACTGAACTCTGAGCTTATTCCAGACCCAAGGATGCTTGGATTAGCCTGTCAGAAAGGCTTTCAAATTTGAACACAGTTCTGTAAAACTTGGCAAGTTCAGCTCTGAAAATTAGAATTTTATAGGATTGAGACTCACAATGATAACAGTCAAACATCGACATCCCTCCTGCCCTCCCCAGCTCCCTACTGTTCCACAATAATCAGTAGTATCTCAATCAGAATATGAAAGCCTTACCTGAAGCTGATTAAATGGAGAACAATCCGTGGAGGAGTCCTCAGCAAAGCCACTGCTGTCAGAGTGCTGACTTGCTGTCCGTAATAGCTGATCTGTTTAAAACAAGCAAAACCCAACTGTAATTACTTTACAAATCACAGCCTTTCAAGCCCAATCACATTCAGCATGTGCTTTCCTTTTACATCAAAGTGACATCAAGTGGATAACACAATTCCTTTTCAAGTTCCACTTTGAACAATACCAAGAAACAACTTGTTTGTTTCAAGCAAAACTGCTCTCATGCAAAGCCCTACTCGTGAAGCTTCAAGCTTCAAGCAGTGGAAGATAAACCACCTCTTACATTTTTCTTTCCCGTGCTGTGGAAAAAACCCACTGCAAATGTTGCCACTGCTGGAGTTTTCCTTCCACAAAACTGTATCACTGATTAATTCACATGCAGGCAGTGGAAGAGTTGCTTTTGTGTTGACAGGTACAGATTTGACACCCCTCCTGATCATGGAGTTAAAGGAGATCACTCATCTCCTATCAGTGTACACCATCCCATATACCCAAAGGAACAGCATCACATCAGCAAAAAGGGCAACGTGGAGGACTCTGCCAACTGCTGGAGATGGTCTTCTGCTGCTTTAGCGGACAAATACAAAACACCTCTGACACATCAATGGGCAATCTGCCAAAGCATATTCCCAGCACTCATTTTATACATGCAAGGTAAGATCGTCTTGCTTACTTACATGAGGTAAGTGCTAAAATAGCCTAAAGAGGCTCTAAAATCCACAATGCTTCCCAGGAGTGATTTCCTCTGCAAGAACTGCACTCACAAAGCTGTATTCAAGAAGATCTCAGCAAGCTCTGCAGTACACTACTGCATGTATATTATTCCCAGCTGGACACAGGAAGCACCCACCAAGTGTGGAGTTTACCTTACAGCACCATAAACATTTTGCTCAGCCTGAGGCCAGCACAGGCAACAACTGTATCTCAACTCTCGGACTCAGCAGACGTGTAAAACCTTGGAGATGGGAAGCAATCACAGTGTAGCCTGTAGCCCCCACACCCCTGTCCCCTCCTCCTCTTCACCCTTGGGTGAGAGCTTGCTGCTGTCTTCTCACAGGCTCAGTGCAGAATTTTCCCCCACATTCCTTCAGCCACTTAAATGTCGTCATATAATTAATCTCAGTTCACAGCTCAATGCATTGGAATGCATGTTGGCTATTCTGAACTAATATTTTAGTATTATTTTCTATGAACATTGCACTAACTAAGAAATAAAAGCCTGCACAGTTTGTGAACACCAGGAGCTGCAAACTGCCTGCTAAGCTTCTGTATCAGTGATTTCACACAGCTTTTAGGGAGTGCCTTTCAAATTGTGCTGCTGTTCTGTTATCATGGTAGCCACAATATCCTGCAATGATAAACAACTTTGCTAGCTCAAGACAGACATCCCCACCCAACTCTCAGCAAAGACAATGGAAATTGTCCCTGAGAACTGGACTAGATCTTATTAACTGCCCAATACAATTAATACAGCTGAAAAAACATGCCATAAGCAGGTTGTCACTACAGTTGAGGCTGGTGGGTAGCTGCTATCTCCTCCAAGGTGAATAGTCACTTACTTTAGACTCCTCTCTGCCTCTTTTCCTATTTGGTGAATTTTAAGAGGAAAAAAAGCACCACTGCTGAAAGCCTTTGCCTCTCTTAGGACAAGAGATTCCAACTATTTCAGATAAAGCAATTCACCAGTGCATATGGTGGAATGTGTTTTCATGTGTATAAAGTTTATTACGCTCAAGAAAAATACTGACCTACCCTTCTATTTCCATCTCGGCCAATGTTTCCTTTTCAGCTATAAAAAAGAACATTACATATATATGTCTCCTCAAATCAATTCTTGATCTTCTCAGAGACAAAGTACTGAAGTTAAAATCAGTATTTTAGACCATTTTCTATAGCATTTGTTATCTATGCACATGCTTTGAGAGCTTTACATGACAGATACTGCCAGTGAAGGGATCAGCCTAGAGCACTCATTCATATTACCATCTTTCTTCATGGCAAGAGACTGGAACAGTATGAACAGATTCAAACTGCTTTGGTTACACCTAAGGAGACAGCCCCTTAATACAGCTGTACCTTGCTTTCTATATTACAGAGCAGCTAGGATTTTTTAAAAAAATTTTAATGCAAATCAGAGAAGACATGTTTCCTCTAAGTCATCTTCTACCACATTACCCTTGTCTTTTGCAAGACATACCACTATGATGTAAATGCAGTAAAAACTTTTAAAGAACAGGAATCTCTGCTACTTCAGTAGTGAAATGACAAGGTTTGTTTCTGTAAAGACTGGAAATACCAACTAGTACACTGGGATATACTTACAGTGATATAATGGTATCCACCCTCCCTGTCAACTACTTATCCAGCTATACAACCTGCTCTATAGCACCTGGATATCTCTGAGAGTCAAGCAAACAAGGGGAAAATATGAAAACATTTTTTAAAGCTACAGAGTTATGTTCAGATCTTGATTAAAATGCCTCCTGGCAATGGAGACTCTTAAGAGAAGGAGTTTGTGAAGAGTACAGCTCCTCTCTTTTCACCTTGAATGCAGAAAATTCAACAGCAAAGGCTGAGTCATAGGGGCCAGTCTGGGATCATCCCTTGGCCTGTGTAATCCCACCAAGGCCACTGTACCTTCTGTAAAAAGGTCACTGCACAATGCCACCTGCCACCCAAAGCTACTATCAACACTACATAGAGGAAGTCTTCTGAGCTAGTGGGAGAAGGCCAGGGACAGCACAATAAGGCAGGTGTGGGAGAAGGAACCAGCCAAGATGAACAAAACCGGAAGGAACAACCGAACTCCCATCCCAGTTAAACAGAGCACAAATGAAAATGCCCCTTGGACTATTGTTTTAAGCTGTATTAAAAAAACCCAAAACAACAAAGTATATTTAGGCACTGAATACATGTCAAAGAAATGTGGGAGTACATAAATATACTAAATAAACTGAGAAAGTTCTAAACAAAGAACATATGATGAAGAAACAACTCTGTAGTTTACAAAACATGAGAGCACAGATTCATCAGAAAATCTCTATCAAGAAATTGAATAATTCATCTATTGTAACATAATAATCAGCTACCAATGGATTGTCAGTCACACCCCTACTTGTGCCACTCAAGTGCTTACACAGAAGAAATATATGGGAACTCTTCATGAAGCTTTAACATTTGTTTCTTGTACCTGCACTATTGGGAAAGCTCTAATGCACTTTGTATTTCATTCCCAATTTAGCCATAAAGTATTTCATTTTGGGATTAAATATCTGCTGTCACTTTCTCACATATTGATCACACCCTGCACCCCAGTACTAACAAAACCAGCCCAGCAGGGAGCCCTGCTGCAGAAACTCTCAGAGTCCCTGGGGATTTCCTAGCATCTGGACAGATAAGCACAGACTCCCACAAATACTAAATATGTCCCAGATGTTTTCTTCTCACTCCCCCATCTCAAATCTCCTGTGGAGCTGCACCCACAGAGAGCTATAAATACAATAATATAATAAGGACAGGAAGTGCTGATGATGTGCTTTCTTCAGTCTCAAGAACTAAATCACTGCTCTCGACTATCGGTGTCAGATGCCTTAAAAGAAACAGGCTTGTGGCTATTCAAAATTTCACAGAGCCACTGATGGCAACAACCAGACACACACACGCTACAAAGCCTTGAGAATACTCTGTCTTCTATGCATAGTACCTATATTTGTCTTGTTTGATGGCCATTTTTTGGAATGGAAAGTTCTGCTGTATATGGCAGGAATAATTTTTTTTTCCACTAACAAACCTTTCTACCAAATAACTTTGCAAGAAGTTCTTGGGGTTTTTTTATAGTGGACATTTAGCAGCACTGTATGTTTACAGTGCAAAGTACCTGAAGCTTTTCATTCTTCTCTACTGCGTTCCTACAAAAACCCACAGGCACAAAAATACATCTACATTTGAGGTCTGCAGCAACAAAGAACAGAATGCTAGGTTTGGGCAAACTAGTTCAGTCCAGTATGATTTGGAAGATATAAGGTAGAAACTGCTTCATGGTAGCCAATATGATACAGAACTTTTTGTATACCCTATAAAGTGTCTAACAAAGATAATACTATAGCAAAGCAATAATTTTCAAGTTACTTTGAAAAACTTAAGCTTACCACTTATAATCAAAGCTAATCTGAAATAAGAAATGTGCTTTAATGGGGAATCTAAGCAGCAGTAGACTCTGTGTTGTTCAAGCATATCTTAAGTCTGCAGACTATTTCAGTAGGAAAGAGAATCTCTTTTTTTTAATTTTAATTTGAATACCTCACATCTTAATAAAGGCCCTCTTAAAATGTCTTAAACTGTTGTAAATGCCAGAGAAAGCATCCCCAGCCCTCTGTGTAGATGTAAAATGACACTGCAAAGTTTATAAGTCTGCACCAAACAGCACTAACCCTGCTAACTGTCACAGAAGTACCCCACATGAAAAAAGAAAAGTACAAAAAGTACAAAAGTATTCTGCCAGGGGAACATTCAGCTGGAACAATTTTTTTGTTTATAGGTGCTTATGCACAGTAGAGCCAACACCACTGAAAGAGGTGGGTTTGCATGAGGATCATCAACTGAATTCACATTGCAACAGAAGACTGGTGCTTGAATTTCATACTGGTACCCTGAGATTGCTAGTGAGAGTGGCATTTCACATTCAGACACACTGGCCAGCATTTGTCATAAGTGACCACTAACTTTGGATGCCTTCAAACTGGGTGAACATCCCCTCTCTGAGAAAACAGGCCTCTATGTACTCTCATGGCTACTGTTTTTTTAATGTTTTGGGTAACATTTGGGTAACCAAATGTTCTCCCTCTTAGCAATTTTACTGAAACTTACACAGAATGAAGTCCTAAGCTTTCCCCATCTTCCAGGTAAAATAAAGATGCTGGTCTCAGACTAACATTTAGCAAATATGCAGGAATGATCTTTGTTAGACAAGCCATAGAAAACTCCAGGCATGATAATAAAGTGTCATCACTAATCTATGCCACATGTATCCAGACACGGGTGGGATATACTGCCTAGGAAACATAAGCCAGCACGCCTTGCTTCTGTCATACTGGAGTCCCATTTCTAGAACTGCTGATACCTTTCAGCAGGTACACACAGGACCATCTCACTTTTTTTCTTTGCATGGTGGAAGAAGAGGGTAAAATAACTACTGGGAACAGAAAACAAAATTAGCATTTCAGAAGATGAAAAAATGTGTTTTTCTCCTCCTTGACTGCAGCTCTTGGTTCCTTAAGTTACTTTTTTTTTATGAATAGCTCTTCCTGAAACTGCCGAGGCCAGGCAAACAAGAGACCTGACCTGCAAAGAGTGTATCTCTCTACATGTGATCACATAAAGCATGTAGTAATGAACTTCAAAATACAGCTAGGGGAATGCTGAGAACAGCTAGAGATGCAGTTTCTGGCGACCCTTCTTGGCTTATGTTTGCACGAAAGGAAGCCTAGTGAATACAGTGTGGCAATGTGCAAAACACTGACGAACTAGTAGCACAAGCTATCACCAATAACCAGGCATTAACCCCCAGTGCTTAGTCCAGAGCATTCTTAGCCACATTAATGCAATTCAGCTGCCAGTTCACAAAACTATCAGTTAATTTGTGAAAACACAACTAAGATGATATCTGTTTCTTAAGACAGGGTTTTCTGCCTCTCCTTAGTATTTAGAGATGCTAGCCATGTTGCACCAAGAATTGCATCACAGCTAAGTATCCCAATAAATGCAACAAGTTCTATTTCTTCATTAATTGCTGGTATCAGCTAGAGAATACACTTTACCTGCCAACATTGGGCAAAGTAACAATCACAAAATGAACTTAGAGATCAGCTTTTTCCCTCTCCCAAGCCATAAAACACATTCATAAGAATATGAGATGAAAGCACAAAAACTGAGTGAGCCACAAGAGCCAGAGCACAGCGTTTCCCATGTGAGTGACTACAATTTCCATGTGGGTGTAGAGACACTAGTCTTCTGTGCAGCCAGCGTGCAGACAGAGCAGTAGTGCATAGGAAAAAGCTGCATGTATCATGCAATTTAGGTTTAAAACAACATAATTTCAGTTTAAATGGGTATCTTAAATTACAGGATCTACCCGGGGGAAAAAATCCCACACAATCTGAATTAACATTCTGAGCTATCATCAATTGTACAAAAGTGAAAACAGCCAATGAGGTTATATGACTGTTGTCTTGCCTGTAATTTGCTTGCCACTTTGCAGTAATGTTCTGTGATTTAGCTAAAAAAGAAACCCAGATCTTTTTTATCTCCAAAGAGAAACGAAACTTTAGAAGTTTTAAATATCTGAAACAGTCTTTCAGAGACGGAAGGACACTCAATAGTGTGCTCTCTCCCAGGAGCTGAAATCTACTCACCTTTCCTTGACTTAGTCACTGCTAGCTGGTGAGTAGCTGGAACATGTGGTAGATCCCCCTCTGTACTCTGGATCTATCGAGAAGAGGAGATAAATATTTTGTTAGGCCAACTGGAATATGCTCCTGCACTTAAGAATACCCAAGCTATATACACTGCACTTGCAGGAAGAGATTTTGTTGGGTTTTGGGTTTTTTTTTCTCTAATTCAACAGCCTATACTGATTGAAGAAGCAAATCATATCCCCTTAAAACCAACATATTATTTCAACAGATACTCAGCAATGCTCCTGCAGGAGAATAGCGATCCTTGTGCAGTACCTTCTACTGACAGCACAGGGCTCCCCTCTGGTTACACTCAGCATGCAAAAAGACCTGGAAATCACATCCTGCGACAACAGAGTTCTCAGTTCCTCTTTGACAAAACACTGAAATTCCTGCGTGAAAACACCTTTGACCACCTTTACAGTACTGTCTTTTTCCATTCAGAACTCTCGGCCCCTCATTTGAACATAACAAGCAAAAATATATCAAGAGGCCAGCACACAAGGACTGTCGTCTGCTGCCCTACTAACTACTTCCCACAGGTCACCAATCCTCCAGCAGAAGGACCCAGACCCTGCTCCAGACTTCACCATGCCACTACTCATGGAAATACTTCTTGTGCCTTCCAGTACAAAAAAGAAAGATAATGTATTCAGAGCTATGCAGATTTCAACTGGGAAACTTAAAACTACATAAAAATGAATCCTATTGCTTCATAACTTTGTAAAACACAGCCTTATTAAGAAAGCAGTTCTCAGGCAACTGTACAAACAATGAAAAGAATATGCCAAAAATCTCAACAGGGAGGCCTTTGTTTAGTTCAAAACCTAGAACATGTTTTCTCTTTTGTGCAATCCAGAAAAAATCCTAATGGATCACATGCAAGTCTACAGGCACAAAAGCCCAATCCCACTATCCCCAGCCCTTCTTGTAGTGGACTGCCCACCCAATTTCAAAACTGCCAAGCAATAAATTTTTATCTTAATTTTTTATCAGCTTAAAAAATGTAAAATCAGGATACTGATATTTATAAGCCAAATTTAGTATTTGGCTAAAGCCGAAGTTATATTTGCTTTGATATCATGTGTATAGCAGCCACAAGGGTGCATTTTCTCAGTGACAAGGGCTTTTAGAAGTACTTGGCCTGAACTTTTCACCATTAATAAGTGAACAGTGTTACTCTTGCACAATAAACCTAGAGGCTTCTGCTCCTTTAGGAGATGAAGGCTGTATGAGAGGGGTAAATCCTTATTTTGTCCAAATGTAGAGGAGCACAGAAGGGGCTCACCATTTAAGTTTAGGAAAAAATTAGTGGGTTTTTTTGAAACAAGGAACAGCAAGTAATCTTACAGACACTTTAATCAAACTGGCCTTCCAGGAAAGGTGTCTTGATTCTCTTAAACCCCTCAGTTTCTGATGGCTAAATTTGCAGCCTTCCAACTGCTAAGCCTCTTCTCATCAAAATACCCTCCACTTCCTGTCCTTGGCAGCACGGCACAGCTCCTCAAACACGCAGAACTTCCTTCCCCGTCCCTTCAGCCAATATTGATGCTGGTAAATGACCTTCAGGGCTGTAATTGGCCACCTCAGGAGTGGGTGTTTGGGGGAAATCCTGCCCTGACTCACTCCCGCACTAGCTATCTTCACAGCCACAGACTTCCGAAGGGCGCTCAAACCTCCAAGACATTCGCAAGCACGAAAAGAGCTTCCTTGATATATCTGTCATCTTTTTTATGCATATGAATGCACTCCAAGCCAAACTGAGAAAACAGGGGGAGGAGCTATTGTCACTGTTTCCAATACAGTTTATTGTTCATTATGACCTGCTTAGAGACGCATGAAAATAAAATCACACTGCCAGGAATTGCTCTAAAATTTCTTCAACCAAACTAAATTCCTCCCTCATAGGGATCTGTAGGCAGTTGATGTGTATATACTATATTGCATAAACAAAAATTTCACCATAATCCCATCCCACATCACATGCTGTCTTGCCAAACCAGCTGTGTTTATGCCATGGCATCACTGCAAAGTGTGTCAACCAAAACTCCACAAACATATTGCATTTGGTTTATGCAGAATTCAACAAGTCTTTACAGTCCAACTTACTCTGAAGGAAAATTCCATTCCTCATTTATATATATATATACATATATATTATATATATTTCTATATAAAAATAAGTTCATTGTTTCAACTTTGTCCTAGGGTACCAAAAAATGGATTTCTCCTCTGGGCTATGCAGCAAAATGCATTGCTACTCAGTCCCCTCCCATTGTGCCAACACAAACATTTGTACAGTTACACAACAACCTGGATCAAGAAAATTATCTGGCAGAAAATAAATAAATAAAAATGTACTGGGTTTCTTTTTCCCCTCTCAACTGGACTAGTCCTTTGTTCTGGTTCAGTAGATAGCCACAGAACATGTGGGTGAGGACACACAGGCATAAACAAGTACCAGGACCACTAGAGGCTGGATTACTTTTTTTGAATAATGAGTGCCTTCAGATACAACATTAGCTGACCTAGAAGAGCTTGTAACGACAATGTGACACTATTCACAGTATCTACTAAATCATCACTTCATCATACACTGTAAAACTCTGGGGGTTTTCTATTCACTTGCTTTCCTCCCTCATTTCACCAATGAAATCACAATCCTTCATTTTATATATCTATATTACATTGACAAAAAAGTTAACTGCTGAACTTTTAACAAGAGTTATATTGAAATGTGTCCACAAAAACATCTGCTAATTTAAGAACTCTAAGACAATTCTTACAATTCAAGGTCTGAGTCTATGCAAAAATTGCATTCTTGAATGTGTAAGCTGTTTGCTGGCCTAATAAACAAAGCATAGAAACATAGAAATTAAAATCCCCTTGGGACAATTATCAATTGAAAAATAGATATATACATTTATGAAGATATTAAAAGGCAGTACAGAATTTGTAACTAAGCCATTGCCAAAGGCACAGTAAACATTGATTTTCAATGTGCTAATTTCCAGAGAACAAATCAACTTATAGCAGATTGTTATCAAAACTGAAAGTTGCACAAGATGAGCACCTCACCCTACATGATAGCCTCTTTTCTGTTTCATGCAGCAACACTTGCTTCAATCACAAATTTATCTTTAATCAACATCAATTAATAAACTGAATTTACTTTTAGGCAACAAAAATAACAATTTAAGTAAAGCAATTTAAGTCAAGTAAAAATTTAAACCCAAAGGTTTTAATATATACAAAGCCTAACCTAGATCTGTTTAGACAGGAAAACTTCCTAGGAGTTATGCCAGTGATTGCAATTACCTGAGCTTGGTCAAAAAAAAAAAAAGAATGAGAACTTTCCTGTTGACTCTCAGGAACAACAGCAGCAGCAGCACCAAGTCCCTTCAGTAAGAGGATCAATTAGAGCAGCCTACAACTGCTGCGAAAGTGCAACAACAGCCTTATCACTCAGAGAATTTCAAGTATTCCTGGAGAAAACACTGTCAACTACACAGGAGGGAACATTCCTCTGCTGGCAGACAGCAAGTTATGTAAACTGTATGTGAAAACAAAGTCATGTGTCTTCACCTACCTCTTCCATCTCAAAGGAGTCCTTCTGTGGCAGCATTAGATTCGTTATGGACGGGTTTGCGAGGGGAGCGCAGGGATCTCTACCTGGCGATGCCGTGCACAGCCTTTGTGTCAGGACGCTGCTGTTGGACGCACTAGAACTGCTGCTGAGGCCTGGAGAGTCCAAAAGACCAGATTCTTCACATGGTGTATCCTGGGCACTTGTCAACCTGCCACCTTGCACAGTACCCTCATCAGTCACAGCAGGAAGGTGTGCAGGTTTATGTGTGTTTGCAGCCTTTGCCTGACTATTGGCTATCTCCTCCTTTACAGTCGCCAAAATAGAGGGAGAGTCTTTCTTTTTAGAGTATTTTGATAATTTAGATTCATTTTTAACATCATTTTCCTCACTCCCTACTTCAGCTGGACTTCTCACTTTCTCAACAGGTGAAGGACTTGAGCAGCCACTACCCTCAGCTTGCTGTGTGCCACACAGATTGAGTTTTGACAAGGTCTTTATCAACCGACTGGCTGTATTGCTGCGAGTTAAAGGGGGAGGGCTGGATGCCTCTTTGCTGGAAGCCACTGAATTCATACTACCAATTTTCTGCAAAGGAGTCCCAGAGACTTGAGAATACAAAGAAGAAAAAGCATTGGCCACAGTAGTAAGCACCTCAATCTGACGAAAACGACCTGCACAAGAATGAAACATAAAGTAGAGTTTATGAGGATGTTTGCTGTCATCACATCCCAGACCAGTTGATCCATCTCTACATGATGCTTTGAATTCTCAAATACAGATCTTTCTTCATATCTGAAGAAGGAATTTTGATCATAACCTCTGCCTATTCCCCCAAACCTCCTCCTACTTATATCAAGGGCTCCAAAGGCTGACTGAACACTACCTAGTCCTGTAACATGAAAGTGATGCCATACTATGGAAAAAGAAAAACCTTTGCAAGAATCTTTACTAAATGCACAGGAACAGCATGGAAAGCTGTCACAAAGTAAAAAAGTGGCACAAGTATGTGAGCGGAAGTTAATTTCCAAAGTGCTAGGAAGAAAGGGTTACTCTTACCATCTACAGCTGAAAGAGGACATTTCAGCTATGCCCTCATTTCAGCAACACTCATTACAGACCTAACAAAGCTTCTGTCCAAGTCAATAGAAATACTGTCCCAGATTTCAACAATGACAGAAATAGGTTGCTGCCAACAGTTTTAAAAAATCTCAGAGAGAAGCTGAAGAACACAAGAAACAGAGGAATATTGCTATTTGTTTCAGTGCTCTAAAGCTACAACAGAAGACAAGCTTAGGAGTAAGAGATGGGAATGATATAAACCAGAAGGCAGCATACTTTTACAGGACGCCTTTCATTTCCCTCCCCCACTATAATCCTCACTCATCCCAAGGACTATAATCCTGATGGTCACCTCTTGCCATACTTAAGATCAAGCAAGAGCTTTATTATGAATTCTGAATGGAATTTGGCCTTCAGGCTGTAAAGGAGTTTTGCCAGAATGTTAAGATACACACCTTTTTTTGGGTTGTTTATATAGTTAATAAACTCATAAAAAACTTTGCTTCAAAAACATACTTACTCGTTAAAGCAAAACTTGGATTTTCCACTTCCATGCGCTGTATTTGGGCATTCAAAAACACTTTGATATCTATGCCTCTGGCAAATGATGATGAATTAAAAAATCTCGCCGGAATTTTTGAAGCAATATCTGGTTCATCTCTTCCAAACCCAAGGTTATAGAGCACTTCTTCAGGATCTTCCTCATAAAGCTCCAGTAATTCTGAAACACTAGACAAATTAAAGATGTTTACCATCTACTTGTCTCCTCCTAAGATCCAGTCCCTTCTGTTCAACTGCTAATTCACCCCAGTAGCCAGAATGTGCTTTTCACTCCTACAGCTCAGCCTACTTTAGGAAATAATTGTGGAGATCTCTGCATCTGAAGTTTTGTTTCCAATCACTAGAGCCATTAGCCCAGACACATCACAGACCCAATCCTATAATTTATAGTCAGTCCTGTTCTGCAGAGCTCAAAATTTAAAATGCCATTAAAATTTAAGGCATTTCTAACATTTAGGTCCATTTATTAGTATTTACTGCAAAGCATAACTGAAAACAAATAGCAATTTTTCAAGCACCAAATGAAAATTCCCTTCTTGGCTACTAAATGCAACAATTCACACAAAACAAGACAACTCCATTTAACTGAGGAACAGACCTTCAAAGATAGTACTCTTTTACCTTGAAACAGTTGCGCTGCTTTTTCCAGACCCGGTGGAGTTCATACTTCTCCCCTTCTGATGGAACTGCAGCCTCCTGTCCTTTGCCGGCACACCATTGCTGTCAACACAAACAGAGAAGATCCCTGTGATAAGCCTCTTCTCTGTCTCACTGGAGAGCTAAGCCTGCAGCACTGCTGAATTTCTCTTTTCGCCTGCAGTGTTGCCTGGTTTACATTAGCCATGTCATTTATTGAAATACAATCACAAAAGGAAACCCTGGGATGCCTCAGTAAAAATGTGCATGACAGTAAGAATTTGAAGGCAAATGCAAACCGAGAAAACAAATCCCTGATCTGCCCTTGCTGCCCCACCCTCCTCCCATCCCATAAGGAAGTCTGGCCTCCGGTGAGCTGTCATTGTCCTGCCTTCCCTATCACTGCCCTGCCTTCCCTGTCATTGTCCTGCCTTCCCTGTACCGCTGCCTCCTCCAGCAGGACCACCTCTCCATAGCAGGGCCACCCTCTCCATGTTTCAGTATCCAGTGACCCTCACCCCTATTGCCACCCACCAGCAGTGCAAGACTGCAAGTTTCCCTGGAGGTGACTGGGGAAGCTGAAGAGGCTTCAGACTGAAAGCAAGGAAGGAAGACAAGCACCAACCCAGACTGCTGGCCGGTTTATTTCCCAACCCTAAACTATTTGCTCCCTGTATATGAAGAAGCTGACTCAGCATTAGGTGGTACCTTGGGCTCAAACATACTTTTACTGCCACTCTCCCTGGGGGACAAACTTTCCCAGGGTGAATTTTACCACATAAATCCTAACATACACTCCCACTGGAACAGCCATTGAGAAAACAAAAGCAGAGGATTCACCTAAGAGTGTACTTATGAAGCCTGGCTCAGGAGGAGTAGAGAGAACGCTGCCCACATACGCTGTGCAGTATTTGCTGAAGTCTCAGTGGGGTTCTACTTTCAGCACACTTTATTTAGAAGCTCTGACTGTAACGCAGGAGCTTCCCCTCCCACAAAGTCACATCTGCTGTGACACCTAAAACGAATTCTCCCTTGAAATTTCTGAAATGGTGAGGGATCAGTGAGGCAAAGAAGGTAAATCATGCTAAGTTACTATGATATGTCATTTCTTTGTTTTCCTCCTGCTACTCCAAAATCTATGTCAGGTCTGCTAGAAGAATTAAATCTGCCTTTTTTTTCTCTGCATCTCCTAATGACAGTTTCGGTGCTATCAGGATCTTCTCCTTCCCTCTCATGTAAATAGACATGAGCAGAAGAACTTGAGCTCTGAGGTAGCCCCCATGACTTCTACTGCCCGTTCTCCCTCCTGTCCTCAAGTATAAATATTTCTTTGAAGTAAACAAACACACAAAAATGTGTTTACCATGTTTCCATTTGGGTATCACTCCGTAGATGATTAGCTGCAGAGAAACAAGAAGAAGTTACATCCAGACGTCTTCATAATTACACTTCCCACAACCAGTAGGAAGAAGCAGAGTGAGCATGTTTACCAATACTCCTATATAAACCAGATTTTTCTTGTTCCATATAAATGTGATTGTCAAGGGTTTCTAGCATACAGCCAATATAAAGATGATTTGGTTTATCCAAGCTCTGTTAAAAATAAAATCTCACATGGACACATGTTTACATACTGTCATTAATCACATTAACTTGAAGTTTAAATTGTGATAAGCTAGCAATTGTTGCATAAACCATTTATTGCTCTGCAATTGAAGACACGATTACCAGCTGCAGGGCTGCTCCCGGGTGGCAAGGGGAGGAAGACAAGCAGGCACGCGAGGATTGCTCCAAGAGAGAAAATAAGAAACATAAAAAAGGCAGCTGACCCCATGGCCACGTGCTGAGACTGCATTTGTTCACCTTTTCATCAGCAAAGTGGGCCAGGGTCCCAGCTGCTTGAGCTGTGCAATACGTGGACAAGAGCTCAGTGAAGCCTGTGGTGCTGATGGGGCCAGTAGTCGTGCTCAGAGTTGAGAGGCCTTTGGAGGGAGGCTAGCTGCTAGGTACCAAGCACCTGGGCACCAGCCTCTAACAGGGAAGTCCACACTTTCTGTAGCTGGATTGGCCCAGCACCGCATGGGAACATCCCAGGCAGCATTACTCTTTCAGAACTGAATGCCAGACTTAAACTATGGGTTCCTCAAAGAGGCAACTCAACATTAACAAACTTGCCCCAGGAGACAGGCAAGGAACACACAGGTGTTAAAGCAGCTCTCAGAATCAGCTATGAAAAGAGCAAAGTGATGTAACACACACTGCCAGAAAAACCCTGCACCTTGACTCGCTGTGCCAAGGGGGTACAGTCCAGGAACTGCGAGCAAAACATGGAAACCTCACAACCTCTCTCCTGGCTTAAGCCATCATGAAGAAACTGAAGAGCATACAAAACACAGATGCCACATCTCTGTTATTTTTTTATATTCTTGCCTATAATATGAAGGTAAGCCTATCTTAATCTAATAAGGATTAGCCAGTGACTAATTTGAACAGCTGAACCATAGTTTTTAAACAGCTCAGAAGTGGGCTGGGGTTATGGGACCCTGCCCAATGCCCCCTGTACCATTCACACAGGGCTCTGGCTTGTATCTGGATTCAGGCAGTCACAGCTGCACAAGGGCAGGCCATTCATACCAGCCTCAAAGGGGCTGTCTGTCTGGCAGGGCACACAGCACTGCTCCAAGCATCTCTGTTGCCCCCTTGTTCTTGGATGGGAAGCAAAGCCCAGCAGAAACACCCACATCCAGGAAAAACACCAGCAATTCTAGTATTGGGACCTTTGTCGCCTGAAAAGGAGGGAAATCACCTTCCGCCTGAATCATGCTAAAGACTCATAAAAAACAGAAGCCCTTGGAAATCATAAAGGGAAAAACTGAAAAGAAAAAAGTGACATGATGTTTTAAAATTTACTGATTCCTGTATTCTTGGTAATATGCTCAGACCCTGGATTAGTGTTACAAAGAAACTTTTCTATGAAATCTTTATACTGCAGGCATCTAACAGATAGAAAAGACTGTCAGTAAGAAAATGTAATTCTACTTAATCTGTTGTAGTAAGGGATTCATTTACTGTTTTTTCCATCATTATCAGGCCAAGGTCATTATCAGCTGAACTGTTTTCCTTAGAAGTCCTGAGCCTTCAAAAATTAAAGATTTTTCCTTCCTCTGGGTCTTGTCCCACTACTTTGACACCACTAGCAAAACTAATGTGGAAAAAGGGCTTTCTACTATACAGTTCTGACACTGCAAAAGCTGTAGTTCAAAAAAGATGAAAGTTAAAGGGGCAGAGTGGTTTTGTCTTTTCTTTTTAACACTGTAAACAGATAATGTCTTATATCTCCTGTCCTGCAGATAACCCCAGGACCTGGTTTGTGAGAGTTTTTTGCTCTTTTATTTCAAGATGCTGCTGTTAGAACAGAATCCACAGTGCTTTCGTTGGTCTGTTTATAGACACATCTAACCTCTGATCAACAAAGAAGTCCACCAAGAACAGCCACATCTCCTTCCCCTTAAAAAGGGGAAGAGAAAGAAAAGGTAAGCAGCTACCAACAGCAAAGTATATATTGTGGTTGATCCAAAATACTTACTCAACTTTGGTGATTTTCATTTTTAAAAGCACTTAGCCCTTAATGGGTTTGCCTCTTGGCTGACAGAATTTCATTCCTCCTTTCAAAAGCCTGCACATGCCACTCCCAAGAGATTCCGTGGAAGTGGGGCATGGTGGCTGCCAAGAGTAACCCACGGACAAGAAAAGCAAGTAGGAGAAATAATTTTCTCACAGCCTCAGTGAGTGCTCCAGGCTATGCTGCCGCTGTGGGTATTAAAATGAGAAGGCAGAAGCAAATTTAGGGCTGACTCTGAACTTTGGGTTAGATCAGAATGTTTAACACCAGCAATAGTCTAAGTAACTTCAAAAAGTGAATCTTCCCGCATTTTTCTACATGCATCATCCTGGTTTTCTAGCCAGTGCTGTCCTTCAAAATAAAAATCAGATGACTAAACATAATTTATTTTGCTAGAAAAAGTCATAATCCTGCCACACCCACCTTCGGCTCCCAGGGATAAGTCATCTTCAAAGCTTCCTCCATTTTTCACCAGCATGCCTGAAAAATACAGTTAGCAGTTCAACAACTAGAATGCTGCAGTGTTTTCCTTCCAGCAGCTTAACTAAAGATATTAGTGAGACATTTCATCTGATACAAGATATAACCACACTGTATTTGCAATCCCTGCATTACTCATACAGTAAAAGTGCACTAAGAAGAGAGAAGTTACATTTCAGAATTTAGAAAAATTATTTTGAAAGAGAACAAGTACAACACTGCTTTAGTTCTGTGCTTAGAAATGTCTCCGAGTCAACCTGTGAGCAAATTAATTGCAAGCAGGAACCTAAAGGTAGCATCCAACACATCTGAGACTTCTGCTGCTAGGTTATCTATCTTCCAGACATCTTACCAGGGACATCCAGAGTCTGAGTTCAGCTTGGGCATTCCCTTCTCACCTTCGTGTACTGGATTAAAAGTTGAAGGAAAGACTCCAGGAACAGCAAGTAATTCCTCTGCACCCTGTCACTACCTGCACATTCTCATTGTACTTTGAACTTTAGTATTCAGACCTGCTCAGATAGTAAAATTTTCAGGTGTGGCAACCAGAGTTATTAGAGGCAGAGACTGCCTAATGCTCACCAGCTTGGAGACAAAATTTCAACCTCCCGGTTCTGCACATTTTGGGCTTTTTTTAGGGCTTAATAAGATCTCCAGAAAGACTTATTCAGTACCTTTTCCCCGTTCTCCATTTTCTCGGGCACAATTGCTCCACTGTAAGAATAACTCAGCATCACTGACTAGGCTGTGGACTGTACTGCTACTAAAATGCTGAGGCCTCTCTTGAATGTCCACAAAAGCAGTTTCCAGCAAACAGACATTTCAGTAGGTAAAGCTTTTCCTTACCCTTCAACAGAGGATTGCTTTGCTCATCCAGGGAGGCTCCCAGAGGCGTTCTGAAACCACAGAAGAGATTAATACTACTTTAAAAACTTGCTGCTTCATGTCCTTCCTTACAGTGTGTAACAAGCTTGTGATAGCAGCAGTTGTCCCACCCTCTCTGCCTCCCTCCACCCCCAGAAAGCACAAATATCTGAGAACTGGCAATAACTTCCTAAACAATCCCCAGCCCTCTGAACAAATATACTTTGTAGAGAAAAACAAAACATAATAACAGCAATGATCAAACACCTTCAGGGGCAGCAGCCCCCTGTTGAGGAAAATCATGGGCTCCTCAGCAGAAAAAACCAGCATGTTTTTTTGAATGGACTAATTCAATCTCATTTATGCAGCAAAAACTGTTGTCATTTTTCTACACAGTGAAGATTTTTTGGAGAGAAGGGTGAAAAGCTGTATTTGGTGATCAGGAAGAATCAAAATAAAAATACTGACAGCTGTGTTAGCTGTCACTTGCCAGTTGTGATACTTTATAGACTCTTCACACTGGCCCTTATTTGGATGATCCCTCCTACTGCTGGTGTCTGAGGGGCAGGGAATTTGCAGAACCTCATGGTGCTCAAAAGGAGCAGCAGACACTGCACAAGTAACAGGTCCAATCCCTCTCTGGGTTCATACTACACTTGTTGGCGCTAGCTAAATGTTTCCACATCTTGTCTCTGAGACATGTTTAACCAAAGACTTGTCACTACTAAGCAGTGCAGCATTAGCTCTCAAAGTTCAAAACAAATTCAGAAATACAATACTCATGAAGAAGAGGAAATCGGATGATTTATGTGCCTACATTATGCAGGTTTCATTTGGATTTTTAATTAGACAAACACATGAATCTGTCCAAAGACCTGAAAGCAAACAGTTCTCTGATACGGTATTTATTTTGGTGCCATGGCCAAATTAAGTGAGGAAAGTTTGCATCTGCTTTCAAACAGACCTTACACTTCACAACCTTATTTTTCTTTCCTCTCTGAAAAGAACTCCCTCCTTCCACGTGCAGCCTGCTGATACAGAGCAAGCACACTTTAATGCACCTTTTCCAAAGCAAAGCAAAGTCCCACCATGGTGGGGTGCCAAGGTAACAAGACAGAGCATCCAGGTGCATAAGCATGTTTCAGGTGATAGGACAGACTCTGTCGAGTCTCAGATCTCCTGGGTTTCTGCATGTCTGTCCAGTCAGGGTCTGAAAAAACACAGGGTATATTGTCTAAACCTGTCACGCTACAACAAGCCTTATGCTCTGAGGTAATAACTATGCTGGTTGTTTACTCCCTGGCATGATGGGTGTGCTTCCAACCTTCTTCTCCTTCCCTGGTGCCTATTCCCATGCCTCTACATTTTCAATGTAGAGACTTAATGATAGTGACTTTGACAGCCAAGATCAGTGCTGCATGCACTGGCTGGCAAAAAAATGGTAAAAGCAACCACCAAATCTGGCATTTTCCCTTAGAAATTAAGTCCATCACCTCTACAGCATGTTAGCAGCTACCAGAGAAGCAGCACCAGCAAAGTCAACCACCCCTTGCTGCCCTGCCTGCACTGCTGCAGTATACCCCCTGCCTTTGAAAAGCTTGCATTTAAGGACTAGACACAACATGACTTTAAACAAGAGACAAATACCACACAGAAATCCTCTTGGACAACAGCAGAGACAGTTCTGCCTTTCTGCACCAGGCTGTTTTTAACCAGCAAGGCCCGTAGCTCTGTCTCAGAGTAGCCCTGTGCACTAGGAATTTTAGGGCTGGGAGACCCTTCCACTTGCTGTGGACAAAGTCTCTCTGCCAAAGGCACACCACAGCAGGTCCCTAGCACATCCCAGCAGCTGTGATGCAGTGGCCAGGAAGGAGTGGCATGGGGAGGCCAACAGCAACAAGTGGGAAGCCAGAGCAAAGAGCAAGTAAGTGGGCATGTGCCTGGATCAAGGAGCCTAAGGTTTTGCATTTGTTTGCATTCATTTATTATCATATTTTAACATATGTAGCAATAACTTCTCCCAATATTGTCCTACAAAAGAACTGAATGAACTCTTGATGCCCACACTGCCATGGGACATAGGTACTGAGCAGGTAAAATGACCACATGCAGCCCTGAGGCTTCGTCTCATCCCAAAGGTTTGTTTGCTCAGCTACCAATTGTGGTCAGGTGGTCTTCAGGAACTGGACAAGGGTTTTGCACTGTGCTGTGAAAGTGCTTAAACCTCAGCTTTTAAAGCCTTAGTTGGGCAGAAGCCATGTTTATTTTAAACTTGAAGCAAAAAATCTCTTCTTTCTGAGGCATTTCAAGAACTCACTTCCTGCATATCTACAGGAGATGGCTCCTAAATACCTCCCACATCCCCTGTATTACTGGCAGAGTCTAAATATACTCAATCAAAATAATACACATCATCATAAGAGTTGATGAAATCTTTTTCGTTTCTATCAGTATAATACAAACAGGAATAAAACAGAGACTTTGGATAACATCTGACATTTCTTAAACCTCCGTAATTCTTATCACAGTATGATAAATACTTGCTCATATTTCTTTTTGGTTTTGCTGTTAGTTGCTTCTTTACACAAAAAAAAAAAAAAACCCACAAAACAAAAAACACCCCCCCACAACAACAACAAACCCAAACCAACAAAACGTGCGTCTACCAAGTTAAATATCATGGGATATTAGGAACCCTCCTCCTTCTCCAAAGCAGATGTGAAACAGAGATGCCAAGTAATAAGAGCCCCAAATAACTAACATGAATATCAAGGGACAGCTAGTAATTCTTTTTATCCCTATTATAACACTAATGATGCTTTTGGAAACAAACATAGGAATAAATCTTAAAGCAGATCTATTTATGCAGTGGGTTGATATTAAGATTGTTTTGTGTTGCTGCCAACTCAAACCAGAAAATGAGATTTTAGAAGTGCCAACTTTCTTCTGATTTCACAAACACTTATAGAAACTCAGACAAAACAGGATGGATTGCTTTTAGAAAATATGCAACAGAGAAAATACTTTCTTTTAGTATCTGAATCTTTACTTGTAATAATAGCTATATGCTAACTTGTTACAGAGCTAACTTGTAAGAATGAGGCTGTGCAATTGACCAGAAATAGAAGTTTGGTCTGTGTATGACACTTTGTAGCAATCAAAGCTCCACATGGAAACCAGTGTTATTAAACAAATCAGATTACAGGGAGGACAACAATTGTAAATTTCACAACTGGTTCTTTTTGAAACAAAACACTACAGTATCTGCAGGACTATTCTGTCATCTGTTGATGCTGTCCTCTTTTACTATGCACATTGTTATCAAGAGACAATCAGTTCAAAGTTACTATATATACAGTCACTTACAACACTGCAAATTGAATCATCACTTTACTACATGTTAGCTACTGCTTGCATGTACATTAGACATAAAAAATGGAACTGTTTTGCAGTTTTAAAACACAAGAGACTGTGCACCACTTCAGGCAGCTGTGATTGTACCCCCAGACATGAACCATACATGCCAGCACCTGGCATGTTACAGAGTCAGTGGCTAACTCCTGTCTGAATAGCTTGGTTCTTTATTTAAAATGTACATTTTATATTTCTGAGGCGAACACAAGATTCTTATGAAAAGACCTATAATAGCAAATAGCTATAGTTTCAGACTTCTGTGGAAAGGCCACAATGGGCTTCGTGAACATGCATGACCTAAATTTGCATCTCTGTACTAGCAAGAGACTAAACTTGTGCTTTATTTCCTTAAGTGTAAAATATGGAAATAGAGTGTAAAATAAGATTCCCACACTTTGGGATTCAACTGCCAGAGATGCAAACACATTCCACAGGAGTGTGTGGTGCCAGTTTTAACAACAGTTAGTTACCAAAGCACAGCAATAAAACCACAAGCTTTGTACGCAATTGTTGTTAAGCAGAATTTTTGACCATCTATTAGATGTTCATGTTGTCAGTTTGCAGCTTTGTGCTATTCCTGAAATTATGCATGGAAATGGTAAGGACCACAGGGCCAGGGAAGGTTCTAGACAGAAATCCTGCAGATACAGACAGAAATGACACTGCAGCATCAGGAAGAATTTCTCCCTCAGGGGCCTCTTTCCCCTCCACTCCTCCATTTTTTTGCCCTTCCCACTCAAAAAAGTACTTATAATACAGCACTGAATTCATAATACTTATAAATAAGTATATACACTGGTAGATCAATAGAACTCCAGATTTGAGGTAAAGTCAGAAAGATCTTCTCCCACTCTGGAAGAACAGTCTGCTAGGTCTGAACATTTCATTTTAGGGATACAGGACAATTTATAGCCTCCAGCTGCCAACACTCCCTCCGAGGCACAGCTCGTAAAGATCTGAAGAAAACTATAAGGAGAACTCTGTAGCTATAAGGTAACCCACATTTCAGTTACAGAGTAAGGTCAGTCAGCCACTTACTGGATCAAAAAGGCACTGCTAATCTCAGCAGTAAATTTCCATCTTAACATAGCTGCTCTGAAAAGGAGAAGGAAACCAGAAATATCAAGTAGGAGAGATCTTGAAATGTCATTGTTAGCCATTGGAAAGCTAGTTGTTAAGCTTCTCCCCATCAGCTCTGGCTCCAAGGGCTGTTAGGACTGAATGCAGAAAAAAACAGGACAAAAGCAGCTGCTACTGGATGCAGCAGTTATGCTTTTATGTGACCGAGGACTAAGAAAAAGTAATGCTGTCAGCCTGTTCCAAACACCACGGATGTATTTTATAACTGTAACAGAAACACGGACTACATATACCATACCTCGACTTAAGGATGGCAGGACATTAAAAGACTTGGATAAATCAAGTTAGTCTAAACTGTGCCATCGAGTGGCACATAAGCACAGAGACCACAACCGTGAAAGCACGGTTTCCTTAAAGGTGCACCAAAAACCAGGCAAGGAAACAGGAGAAGCTTTAAACTGGAGCCTCTCCGTAAAAAACAGGGCAACTTCTGAAAGAATGCCGCCATCCTTGTCCTCGGCTGAGTGCCTCCCGCGG